GTATTATATCCATAAATGTCGCTATGCAAAATGCTCCCTCTCAATCTCTGCTCTCAAAAATGAACTTTCCCTTTTCAAAAGATGTCTGAGAAAGATGCAGAATTTAAATGTAATTAAATTGTTTGAGTTAATTGAAGAATTTCAGTTGGTAGTCCCCACTGAATAATTTACTTTAACTACTATTATTATTTTATTTATTTTATTTTATTTTATACTTTGTTCCAGCCTGTGCATTTAATTTTATTTTTCAAAAGCAGGAGTTGTGATATTTCTTCTTGTATTGAAATATTTGTTATTGACTTGTTATTTGAGATTGTTATTGTTTTCTTATATATTCAATAACAAAAAAAAAAAAAAAAAAGTGGAAATCTAAAAAAAAAAATTAACCATTACAGCCAACTGATTCTGATTAAAACTAATTTTTGAAGTAAATTATTTTGTGTATTTTTTTTTACATAACATTTGCATACACAGTAATCTAGCGTACTTTAATTAAATAAATCAATTCAAGCTAAAATGTAAGAGTCTATAATTAGGCTATACTGAGCCTGATCTATTTCTACCATCTATTTGGGGGATATTTATTGCCACACTTTGGGCCACTTAAAACCAATTTAGCATGCTGACCTATGTCCTTATGACCACAGTGTACCAATCTTCTGATGGCTACTTCCAACAGGATAATGCGCCATGTTATAAAGTGAATCATCTCAGAATCATTTCTTGAAACTTTTCCACTTAAGTAATTGTGAATTGAGCATATTGACAGACAACATTTTATTTTTTATCTTAAATGCAAATTTAAAAAAAAAAAATTACTGCTCTAAATGTATTGCTCTGTCAGCTAAAGATCTGTTTTGGTCTCTATACTTTAATTAAATAAATCAATTCAAGCTAAAATGTAAGAGGCTATACCTGATCTCTTTGTATCAGAGATTTTCTTACCCAGGGTTGCAGGGGGAGTTTTACCCCCCCTGCAACCCTGGTTTGCATTTGTATAGCTCACAGCATGTTCATTAACATGTTAAAGCCTCCCCTAGAATTCCATGGGGGGGAGGCATGGGGGGAACACTGCCTAAGAAATTCCACGTCAATTTCTGACAATTTACGGGAGTTTTCGGCGAAGGTTGCAAATTGCCGTAAACTGCCGCTAACCTGAAATTCCACGACAATCTACAGTGCCGTATATTGACGAAAATCCCACTTTTCATGCAGTGTTTATACACAGAAATGTTTCAGAGTTAGCTTGCAGTGCAACCACAAGATGGCAACAGAGACTGTCAAGTTATAGATCTGTCCATAGATAACATCCTGCCTATAAATAATAAGGCTTTAGATGTTGCAGGGTATATAGCACACAGGGTTTATAACATATCTTTGGTGAATGCTGTGTAAAGCAGCATATATTCAGTGTTTGGCTCACTGTCAATGTTCCTGTCATGTTAAGCTAGCTGAATTAGTGGAGTTTAACACATATACTACTCATGAATTAGCATATCACCACAAATTATTTAAAGTAAAGCTGTAGAAAAATTATTAATTAATTATAAGTAATATAATACAAGATTTATTATTCACAAACATGTAAGTATTTAATTTCTGTTAGTTCGGATGAATGTCTTACAGCTGATAAAAATTCAAGTCCAGTTCCTGAGAAAATTTAATCACATCAGACTAATGAGAAAAATGGGGACCTCCTGAAATTAATGTTTGTGTACTTTAGGGTTTATGCCATGCATGCCAGATCCGGACTCCTTCTGTATGAATTACTGAATTGGTGGCCTGTGGCTCCAACAAGGTGTTCAGGAAGCCCAGGTTACTCTGACAGCAGCCTTGCCCTCATCTTCCATTCTGGTTCTGGGGTTTCTCATCTCCGTCCCTATAACACTGCATGGATTGAATGGGTTTGTGTCACACCAGGTTTTCATGGTCATTAAAGCAGGTCTTGATGGTTTTAGTGGCGTAGGCAGGCACAAAGTCCTGCTAAAAATGAAACCAGCATCAAAAGGTTCCTCTGGAAGGTGAATTATGATTGCTCCAACTTTTCCTGGCAGACGGCTGTGCTGACCTTAAGTCATGTTCTTGCTCTCCCCCTTGATTTTGTAAATAGAGCCCAAGATTTACCTCCATAAGAAATAAACCTTTGGGCCAAAGAGTAAAAACCATGTCCTCCTTAACTCAGATGAGACACTTTGGAGGCTGCGTCTCCTTTAGGGGCAACTTAGTAATGTTAAAGATCTTTATATCACAATCTTCTCAAGGCTGCCTTTAACCTTGGGTGTGACCTATATACCATACTTTCACCTTCCACTTTTGCTTAAGTCAGGCATGAGCTGTAATGGTCCAGAATTTATACATTCACAAATAGTTTTTAGTCATTCTGTTCATGAGCACCACGGTATAGGTTCCAGTAATGGAAAGCTTGTTTTACCAGGTCCAAAAGACAATGCTCTAAAGAGATTTTTTATACATAGATCATTGAATCTTTGGAATAATTTACCTCAATACATCTGCTGCATTCATAGCAAATTATCTTTTAAAACGATTCTGAGACTCCTTTTGATGCCCTGAAGTGTTTTTGTTTTATTGGCTGTTTTATTTTTACTTGTTTCGTGCATTCTCTGATCATTTCTAAACTATGTGATTAGAAATGAAATGTTTGGAAATGTAATATTTGTGACTGTGCTTTTTTATTGTATGTTTTTCTATCTGGACCCAAGGAAGACTAGCTGTTTGCCATGGCAACAGGTAATGGGGATCCTTAATAAAATTACAAAAATTATACTTTCCGTTGATTTACTTGGATGTAGAACCCGGTACATTGCCAACTTCTTTCAGAAATCCATTTTTGTTTAGTGAAGGATGCCAATGACTGCTGAATAACCACCTTTTTAACCATAATTGACCATAACATAACATTTGTGTGATAAAATTATTGATCAGTATCATAATATTCCAAAAAGAAATGCTATTTCTATCAATAAAAAGCTTTCAAAATAACACTTAATATAATGAATCTGCAACTTCTTGAATTACTCATTGACAGTAATTTGAGTGATTAATTTCTGATTGCGTTGTACCAGAAAATACAAAAGAGAGTTGATGGGAAATCAAAGGCTTTAATGACTAATTTGCCCTATAAACATGAATTACTACAGAGCATTATTAAAGCAGATATATTTGAAATAATAATAATAAAAAAAAACATCTGTACCTTCTCTCTTAAACAGAAAATGAAAATATATCAAACAGATAACTTCAGATTTTCTGGTCACTGATTTACTTTTGAGGTCAAATTGAAAACTGAAATAACAGAAATATGAACACCACCAACTGAGGCTGAGTATCTACAGAGATTTGGACAATAACCTTTTTCAGTCATAATTTCACCAGTGGATCAAAGATGGCTACCTAAAGTCACATCTTAAACAATAACTGTGTTAAAGACAGAAATGTATTATTTTCTCCCAGAGTCGCCATTTATCTCTTTCATGAAACAGTAATATAGTCCAACAGTAAAAATAGGTCAGAGATAGTAGCTGTTTGTTAAATTAAGTGTGAAATTACAACACTGGCGGGAAATGAAATCTTTAGTAATACTGTCAATAAGTGTGAGTCAGCTAATGATAATGGAGAAAACCAAGCGTTTACTTAAATGGACTGGAACAGGACACTTCCCAAAGAGCTGCAAAACATCCAGTCTTTACAAATGGGTTACTGAACAAACCTCTTTAAGCCAACATGAAACTAATATACACAACGTATTTGCAATATATTTTATGAAGTCGGTTTATTTCCCTTTGTATGTTACCACCTTTGGAAGAAAAAGGTGATTGTGGAGGAAGTGTGATGATCCAGCTGGACGCCTTATTGGAAAAACTCAATGTAGCATACCAAGATCAGACTCTGAATTAGCGGTTATCCTGTGTCCAATCCAGGGACCAAATTATAAATAATTAGGAATACATAATCAGTTAAATTTAATCATAGTAAAAATAGGAGTTGACCTTATCCAGATCTTGCCAGGTGTGATGTTTGTACCAGGGATCAAACATTTTGGCAAATGCTGGTACAATCACCCATTTGTGCCCATTTGTCCTGAACGGTTCTATGAAACACTGAGCAGGCGGTTACTGATTACTAAATTACTAATTAGTCCCATTTCTTCAAATTTAAATAACACCATAAGGATTAGGAATAATCCCTTTTGCTTTGGCAGGCAGAGAGGATTTTTGTAATTGGTGCACCTCAGATTACCTCCTGCACTGCTCAAACACATAATTCCTTTTCCTTACCATTGTGGTGCTGTTAAAGGTCTGTCCAAAGTGTGTCCCAGAGGAGTGGTATCCTGCAGGTTTTAGAAGTTTCCTCAATTTAAACACCTGATTCATCCGACAGCAACTCAGCAAAAGACTTAATCAGCCATCAGCTGCTGAAGCCAGAGGCGGGGGTACCTAGTTACATTTACTTGAGTAACCTTGACAAGAATATTTTAAGTGTAGCTTTACTGAACCATACCTTTGACTTGGGTAATATCTTTATAAAATCCCACAACTCTTACTTCAGTAAAATGTTCAGCTACTGTATCCAGCATAACCTTCACTGGACAACAAATACGTTTTTAGCTAAACAGTGTTCCAGAAAAAGCCACTCTACCCACCTCAGGCAAGAAGGCATCTTAAAGAGTAACAAGCCTTGAGGGCTGACTTTGAACGCCTCTGGTTTAAAGGATATAAAGCTTTCCAGCTTTAACCTTTCAAACTGTGTTTTACTTCAAGTTCCTTTTTTATTTGCCAAGTTAGCAAAAAGACTGAATAGGTAACAAAATGAAATATATTTGAATATTTACACGAATGTGCAAACAAAAACAATACACATCTACTGCACCTTTACTTTACAATGAATCAAAACTCATTTCCCACTTCTTGTCATTGTGAATATTGACTTTGATTTTACAACCAGATGTTCCTTAAATGGAAGTTATGAGGGGGGTGTCTTAGTTTAATTTTCAAAAACGGTAAAAAAAAAGAAAATACAATAATAAAATGGGTAACTGTTCTTTCCCCATTTCTACTCAATTTTAAGGGGAGTGCTGACCTAGTGCTTAAGTCAATGCGCTTGTGCTCTGAGAAGATTGAAAGTAGCTGGTTCGATCCCCACAGCCTGCATTCTGGCTCTCTGAGCAAAACCCTAACCCCACACTGCTCCCCATGCGCTACACAATGGCAGCCCAATGCTCCCCGAGGGGATGGGTAAAAAGCAGGGAAATTAATTTCCCCACTGTGGGACAATAAAGGGATTTACATAATTAAAATTGACTTTCATCACTAATCAATCAGAGGGGGAAATGTTCCAAAAAAACTAAAAGTTTTAAGATATATAACAGAAATACATTTCCAACTTTAATGTATTTTAAACTGACAGATGGAAACATTCACAATCCAGTGTAACCTGGCTCAGAGCGGAATACATTCAGCTCCGTCTCTTTTAATGTGTTAAACAGCTGCACAGTGACAGTACTTCATTCTGCTTTATACCGAGACCTTCACTCTCCGCAGGGAGCAGGTAACAAGAGGAGATATTCAATCAGATGGAGGTGTAGTGCCTCCCAAAGCTGGAGAGTCTAATCTTTTCTGGCAGGATGATGTTTACAGAGTGCTCCGGCTCTTCCTGGCTGGTGCTGCCAGATTCTCTCAGCAGGTGTTCTCGCTGCTGCCGAACAAGCTGGCTGTACTTGGCGTTGGCCAGCCACGTCTCACAGCGGCCAAAGAAGACTATTCCTGTGGTACCCAAGATAACCAGGACGGTGAGCAAGGCCAGCATGCCGAAGCAGATGAGCTGGCCGTGGGTGACAAGGACACCGGAGGAGTGGACGGATTCCTTCAGGGTTATCTTGAGCAGGTCTCTCTCCGGTGGTCTGAGCAGCTTGTGAAAGGCGTGAGCAGGAAGGGAATAGTGCTGCGGTGTGATGGCAAACTCTCTGTGCTCCACTGGTCTGGGACTCGCAGGCTTGGTTCGCGATCTCTGTCTGTGATGAAGGGAACAGGTGGTACCTGTGAACCCTTTCTGACAAATGCAGCGGAAGGTTCCGTCAGGCTGACCGACGCACGTCCCCTCGTTGGCACAAGGCCTTCCCGCGCATGGAGAGAGGCTGCTGGTGTCATTACAAGTGAAACCGCTGAAGCCGTGTGGACAGGTACACGTGAAAGCCAGGCCGTGATCCGTGCAGTTGCCACCGTTCAGGCAGGGGTTCGGCTGGCAGCTGCCAACACTGATGTCGCAGAAGGGTCCGGAAAATCCAGGGGGACATAAACAGGAAGGGTCGGCTGCTGCACTGCTGGTGTCTAAACAAGTGCCGCCGTTTTGACAAGGAGATCTGGGGAACACAACAGGACAAAATGAAGTCATTGCAGAGAGAGAACAAAAAGGCTGCTAGTCAATATTCAACTTCATCCCATTTACATTTTATTCACATAGTAAAAGAGCAGCAGAGATGAAAAGAAGCAGAGAGTTTAATTGAGGTACTTTTTTAATAAGAGCTCATCTGAAGGTCATTTTAATTAATCTGCCTGTTTTAGATGCAGGTCTTCAATTTAATATACATCGTTCTTAGCAGAACGCAAAACTCACAGATTTACCAAAGACTGAAAAATGAAGCTGAAAAAGGGCTTAGAGGTTATAGTAAAAATGTCCAACTGAATGAAAAAAAGGCTTTTCCTGTCATTTATGATGAGCACTTTATGCTTTTTAAGCAGCTTAAAATCTCAGACATGAATAAGAAAAATCAGGAACTTCAGCACGGTTGGTAAAATGCAACAATATTTTGACTCTCATAAACACAGCTACCAAAACATAGGCAGTTAATTTGGTAATAAAAACTTTGGTTAATCAGACGTTAAAATTCACTTTAATATAAAAACTATTAAAAAAAGAGCTACAGTGAAATTATAAAATGAGTTGCTAAAGATCAGAAAAAAACCCCGTAATTTTAACTTTCCTATAAAAAGATTTTAGACATAGCATTATAAGGAGCGTACTGCCTGCTTTGTCTGGGCAGCTTTACTCTTGGGTGTCAAAAATCAATGCAGCACTATTTAATTAAATGGATGATTTTTCTCTCTCTCAGAAGGTCACCAATATCTACCGACTCTTGCTAATACCTTATACATGATTCAAGTGTAATGATGCAGCAATGTAGGTAACTGCTCTTTAGGGTAGAGGTTTGAGAGAAACAGTCTATAAAACAGGATTTAGGGATGTTTCAAATGTTCTGCTAAAATGCTAAGATCCAGTAGGGCTAACCTTAATCATCATAAACAAATATGACGTCTTAATTTTTAATCAGATTATTTATATTAACTTCTTAGGGATATTCTTAACTTATTGAGATGCACCTGTAATACTTATTGGTATTCTTTTACACTAGCATGCAATTGCCCTTCTCGCTAATGAAAAATGGTATGCCTCATTTTCTGCAAATGAAAAAGCTGAACCCATGACCGGATAGAAATGAAAGAAGTCTCGGCTATGCCTCTAAAACAATCTACCGGCACCAACTTGTGCGGTGTATCAGATCAATGCAGTCATGCTTAACAGACCACAGACAGATGAAAGCCTGAGATGGAAACCAATCAATATTTCCAACAGTACTTTGGATAATTACACAAGCCTGGAACACCTTGTCCGAGTTGATCTGAAGAAATGCAGCTCTTGCTTCGCTTTTCCAAACCTCCATGCCTCATAGAGCAGCTGATGAATGTAAGATCTACGGGCCAGGCTCTGGTGTTCTCATGCATCATAACTAAGAAAGTTATTTTGCAATAGGAAAGCCGGTGATTCAGTATTGATTATTTCTTAAGTTGATATTTTCTAATCATTGCCTACTGACAGCATAAGCAATGAAAGGTTGAGGGTTTGACAGCCTGTCAGCTGCATGCATCCCCAGAGTCTTTAACAGTCTGACGGGCAGGAGGAGGATTCCTGTGGGAGAAGTTCAATTTGCAACCCAGCAGCAGTAAGGAATCTTCCCCAGCTTAGAGGAGTGCTCTTAAGCTTTTCCTTAGATGCAATTCAAAACAACAAGAAACTTGTTGACATTGACATTAAAGTTTTATTCATCTGGTTGGAAAGCTATGTTTTAACTCCGAACTTCATTTATTGCATTGCCTATCCTTCTGAATGAGACAGAATATTAACTGATTCAACACATTTTGATTGGAAAAGATACCCAGGAAGTCCAATGTCTTTATATCAAGATTATTTATGAACTAGACCTTCATTTTGGATCAGGAGACATCCCCGGCTAACCAGAAAGATCAACATAGTTTCTTTGTTAAACAAGTCTTTAATACCTAAGGTACTCACAGCCTTTGAACCTTTTCAAGTTTAAATCCGTTACCATGACAAGTGTTTACCTAGCAAGCAAAATTAATTGTTGAGAGAAGCCAATAAATGAATCAGACTCGAATACAGAAACTCTCTGAACCAATGAAATGCAGTGATGTGTAGGACCTCAACCAGAAGCAAAAACAGACATGGCTTTACAAGTGGACTTGGCTATTCAGTTAGAATACCCTCCCTTTCTTTTTGTACAAAATGGGCAAAAAGGATGCAATTTGTGCCTTAGTGGATGGGAAAGATGTCTGCATGCTCTTCCTGACCAGAATTGGAAAGAATGTGATTAATCCATTAACTCCCATAGTTGTAAAACAAATCAAGAATGTAATACTTCACAGCTGCTACTGCGATTGGCTGAAAGCTTGAAATGGGAGAAAGGTGCCACTTTTTGATCTACCCCATCAGCTTGAATTGTATTGAATGTCACAAACACTTTCCACATTAACCTTTTTTAGATGGATACTGTATAGATATCAAATTGAACAACATATCAATCTGGCTTATGCCAGGAAAACCGCAGTGTAACAGTGTATACAGCAACTTAATCAATGGTGATGAAGAGGAGGAGATGCAATCATTTCAACAAGTTGTTCTGGAGGAAGGACACATCTTAAAAGATACAGGACAGCAAGGCAGGGGATAACTGTGTCAGAGAACATTGGTTAACAACATCCTGATGACCAAAAAACAGCAGAAAGGTCAGGGAGAACGTTGTGGAGTTGTTTATAGCAGGGTTAGGTTATAAAATATCCTGAGCTTTGGACATCTTGCAGAGCATTGATAATCGATCATCTAAATATGAAAAGAGGATGGAGGAAGTGCAAGCCTGCCCTGGCAAAGCCTTCCTCTAAATCAGAGGTATCAAGCTTCACTCCTTGAGGGCTAGTGTCCTGCACATTTTAAGACTTGTCTCTGCTTCAGTACAGCAGAGTCAAATTATCAGGTCATTAGTGGAACTCTGGAGGAATTAACTGCATGCCGAGGTGGTAAATTTCTTTTATACAAATTAAAGAAAAAAAAAAGAGAAAACCATGTCTCGGATTGAAACCCTTATAAGAAAAAAAAATGGATATCTTGAATCACTATACTGGATCCAATGTCTGAAAACTGTTACATCATTTTGCCTTCAGCTTAATTTATCTTTAATAAACTTTCATTAATGCTAACCTGGTTAAATACAAGTTTAGATTTAAAATGTTTAAAAAGCATTATTTGATGTCAATTGAAAAAGCCTATAGCTTTTATTTTTCCTTCGGAATTATGAGTTTAACTCCATCTGTATCCCCTTAAACTGTGACCAGCTTTCATGCCACGGCTAAATAACATCACATCCTGTCTTGCTGTAAGGTTGTTTGTTCAGCATTAGATTTTAACAATGTTTACAATTTGCGCATTGACCAAATTTTGTATCATATTTGCAGTGATCCTACATCCCTTGTGACGCAAACAGAGCTTCAAACAGTGAACCTTATGAGCTACATAATTAACAGTTCAGGGGATGGATTCTCCCACCTGAGCTGTGGATCTCTGCATCTCCTCCACAACAACCATAGGACTCATTATGAATAAACATTTAGTGAGGGCATAAAATGTGGAAATGTAAAGGCATCATCAAATATTTTAGAAGACATCATTACAGCTGCCTGCATCGCTCTAACTGAAAGTAATAAATGCAGCATGCTGACCTATTAGTTTACATCCACAGTGCAACATTGGTGATGCATCAATAAGCGTTGGCAGAGAGAAAAAAAATACATTTACAGCTGTAGCATAAGATTTTAGCAGGTTTGAGCAAGAAATATCAATATTTTGCTCTGCATATTTTCAGTAATTTTGAAATTACATCAAATTCAAGATAAAAATATCAATATTTTCCATTTAAAGTACTGATCAGTGTTCCAATTGATAAAAAAAACAAAGTTTCTCAAGTTGCAAACATTTTATGGGAAATACTTTTTTTTTAAAGGCATTGGTACCCATTTAGAAGGCAGAGTCCTTGCTTCATTTGGCAGTTTTCTCCAGTGTAGCCCTGGGGACAGAGACACAGGTATCCTCCCTCTCCTTTCTCTATGCAGGTGGCATTACTGGGGCAAGGTTTGGATGAACACAGGCGAATATCTGTTGCAGAAAAAAAAATAAAATACATGCAGTTGTCAGATGTTTAAGCTCCATCACAGTATGTCTCTGCCTTTCTGTGTCTGTTATAACATCTTCTTTGTTGCCACTCTCTCCCACTCTACCACCACATGGCAGCAGCATTCAGTCGTCAAAAAAACAAAAAAAAACAACCAAGTGTATAACAGAGGCGATGCACACACATGCTCGGGCAGATTATGAAAGGTAGCGTAACTTGGGCAAACTGTGCCCAAAATACCCCATCTGGAAAAGTAGGAACTCCTTTCAAAAAGTCTCTGTTCTTCGTTTTGCTCAAGGGTTCAACATTGAAAGACTCAATAAATTATTCCAGAAATGTGTAATCTTTGCATGGGTTTTGTTTAAAAATAGCATCCATTGGACACTAATGAGAGCACATACAGTGTCAAGGTCCTAATTTCTGTCTGGTAGAAATATCATCGAAATCTAGAATATAATAGTTTTAGTTAAAGTTCATTTTATTAAGATTGATTTCATGGCATTTGCTGAGGATCAGCAGCCGTGACTCATGCTAACCTCTGAGGTGGAGGCGGACAGGCAAAGGAGGGAGAGCTTAATGAGACTCACCTTGGTCACACAGACTGCCCACCCAGCCCTCTTTGCAGATGCACTGCCATGCTTTCTTGCATGTGCCATGCAAACAGCCAGGAAAAGGGATGCAGTGGTCACAGTTCTCCCCTTCCCATCCAGGTTTGCACCTAGGATGGGAGAAAAAACCAAGCAGGTTTTAACTATCTGAATATAACCAACATATTGCCGGAGCACTTTCAAAAGTATTAATTTGAACTGATTCACAATTATCTATGTTTTTTATACAGATTTTATGTTTTTATTTTGTGGCAGGCTGAATGAGAAGTACATGATGCATTAGTCATCGAAACTCCTAAGTTAATACTTTACAGAACCACCTTCTGCCGTAGTTACAACTGCCGCCTGGTTTGGAGCATGTTTCTACCAGCATTACACATTTAGACAAAGAAAATGTAGCATTTTCTTTACAACAAAAAAAAAAAAAAAAAACACCTTAGACTGAAAAAGGTTTGATAGAGGAAGTTCGTAAAGATGCATTATTCCAGACTTGTCACGGAATACTTGTCAGTTCTGTTTCAGCACTCGATTTTGACAGGCTTATGAAACATGTATTGTTTTTTATCAAAGCCATTTGGAAACTTAGAAATAAGAATAATGTGAATCAATCTGAATTTAGATTCTAGAAGAAAAAAAGTCACTTGTCACAGTAAAAGATTGAGCTGCAAAACAAAAAAACTTTAAGTCCTTTTCAAAATGAGGCTCTGTGCATGCGTCATAAAGGATCCATATGAAGATTGTTTTTTCACCGATTGAGAAACCTTTACTGAGGTAGATTATAGAAATAAGGTTTGACAAACACGCAGAATATGAGCCAACTGGAATCAGGTAATTTTACAAACACACCTGCACTTCCCCAGCTTCTCGCAAAACCCATTTTCTGTGCTGCACCCTGCGTTGCATTCCCAACCTTAAAAAAAAAACAGAGACAGGGGGAGAAGGACAGCCGCATTTTCCCCCATCAGCAATCGAAACACACAGAAAACATAAAAAAAAACAATAAAATATTTATCCCTCTACTTTCTTCCATTTACACCATGAATAAAACCAGGACGAAAACAAAAAACACATTTAATGTAATGACTCAAATCCCTTCCGGTCGCAGTAATTTGTCTCTGAGGATTATTGGAAATCACAGATTACCTTTTACTATTCCCGTCACGAGCAGAATTAAGACCACCCCGATGAGATGCATCGTAATTTGAAAGAAGACGACTCTCTTTGTCCTGCGGAGAATGAAAACACATCCGATAGCAAAAAAATAAATAATATATAAAATCTGATTTCCCACAAGTTTTAAATATAAGAAAAGACATATTTCCTACATCAAACTTCACAGTTGTGTTTAAAATGAGCATGTTTTTGGAGAACTCTGTTCCTTTAGTGACTATTGCAGGAAATTGTGACAAAAAACTAAATTATTAGATCAGGTAAAATTAAGTTATGAAATAATTAGTCATTTCATTCTTGGAAATTAGTGACGCACCTGAACAGTGTGCGTCTGCTCCACAACGTATCCATTATGCGTGAGCATGCGGGTAAGAAGGGTGAAAAGGAAGATTTTTGACTAAAAGCACACATCATGTCAAAAACCCTTAAAATCTAACATTGGCATATCTTACCTATGTCATGCAGACGCTCTGCCTCCAAACACCTTTGATCATATTGAAGTGGTTTCTTCTTCTTCTTATGAGATTTTATGGCGGTTGGCAGACTTGTGAATTGTGCATTACCGCCACCAACTGATATGGAGTAAAGCAAGAAAACAGGAAACGATTCACCCCCCCCCCCCCCAAAAAAAAAAAAAAAAAAAAAAAAAAAAAAAAAAAAAAAAAAAAAAACCTGTGTAACTTAAACCAACATAATACTAAATCACATTTGCCCATATAATTTTAATTTACTCTAGGTCATCGTAATTCTGCCAGTTTCTGATGGTCCCATCGGTCCTCCCATCATGCTTCCAACCATCTCCCAGTTCAAATCTTTAATGTCCAGATATTTTTCTGCAGCCTTCACTATTATTTTGATTTTTTCAGTTTTTTTTGTTGTCTGTGCAGTACAATTAATCACTTCTACCATGAAAAGAACAAAATTTGTCTTTTTAACAATTAGTGAGTCTTCATCAATTTTTGGAGATTTCTCTAGAGGTTTGGAATTTGCTGTGTGTTGAACTGTAGGTTTGGGTTTTTCTGACTGAGATGGGATCCTTTTTGCAGCTTCAGCGTAGGTTATTCCGAGCTCAAATTTCATTTTTTTAATTTCCTCAGACCTTTTGCTTGCTTCACAGCCGCGATAAGCAGCAGTATGTTCTCCACCACAATTACAGCATTTTATTTTAGCTTCTTTTCCACATTTTCCGTACTCATGTTCTCCTGCACACCTTCCACACCTCTGTTTCCCTTTACAAACTGCTGCAATGTGACCGAATTTTTGGCATTTGAAACATCTCAATGGTGGAGGATTGTAGATTTTGACATTATAGCTTATGTAACCGATGAATACTTTGCTTGGTAATTGCTCTTCTTCGAATTTAATTAACACCGATAAACTGTCAGATCTTTCTCCGTTTCTTGTTGTTTTTAACCGTTTTACTTCTTTTACTTTTGCACCGCTTATGTTTTCCAGAATCTCTTTTTCAGAAATTTTTAGAGGAACTCCTCCAATGACTCCCCTGCTGATCTTTTTGTTCTCCATTAGGCTGCACTGAACTCTTATCCCGTCAATTTTGTTGATACGTATTGCTTTGCCTTGCTGGGCGCTGTCTCTGCAGTTAATTAGCAGGTCTCCACTGTACAGAATTCTGGCACCTCTGACTTCTCCGACAAGTTTATTGATGGTTTTTGTTAAGTGAACCGGATTCCAATTTGTAAAAGAGTCTGCCTGATTAACGACTTTGAATATGACTTTGAATTCATTTTGTTGTGCTGTGGAATGTATGGTTGATCATCACTGGATTGTTCTGAACTAGATTCCCCTTTAACTGATCTCTGTTTTTTCCGCTTTTTCTCATTTTTTGATGTTGCTATCTTCCAACCTTCATTGTCACTATTTCCTTCTTCCATCCCACAAGAATCGCTTCCTGTTTCCTCACTACTCACGGCCCAGGACATCTCTCCACAAGCAGCTTCAAAACACGCGCCATGCACCACCGGCCTCTTGAAGTGGTTTAGGCTACTTGTTATTGTTTTATCCAGACAGCGTCCTCCTGGAAGCAGCACTACAGGTGCACCAGCGGTCTGATTGCTTCAGATGGACCTGCAGGTTTTGACGGGTCTGTTGGAGCTGCTGCGTCGTGGCGCGCGACGCACTTCGCTCCTCCCACTTAATGTGGGGGGAAATTGAGCAACCGTCTCTCCCTCTGGAAAGGGGTACAATTCTTTAATAAAATAGAACAGTTAAGTTAGTTTTTTCTTTCTTTCTTTCTATATAAGCAGAGGCGTAGCCAGAACATTTTTATAAGGGTGGCCAGGCAATAACCAATGTACACTGAAGGGTGGCCGAAAGCAGATAGGCACCAGAATCTTAGGGTCAGTCTACAGGTGCTGGTCATAAAATTAGAATATCATGAAAAAGTAGATTGATTTCAGTAATTCCATTTAAAAAGTGAAAATTGTATATTATATTCATACATTACATACAAACTCATATATTTCAGATGTTTATTTTGTTTAATTTTGATGATTACAAATGACAACAAATGAAAATCTCAAATTCATCATATCAGAAAATTAGAATATTACTGAAGACCAATAAAAACAAAGGATTTATAGAAATGTTGGCCAACTGAAAAGTATGAACATGAAAAGTATGAGCATGTACAGCACTCAGTATTTAGTTGGGCCTCCTTTGGCCTGTATTACTGCAGCAATGCGGCGTGGCATGGAGTCGATCAGTCTGTGGCACTGCTCAGGTGTTATGATAGCCCAGGTTGCTCTAATAGTGGCTTTTAGCTCTTCTGAATTGTTGGGTCTGGTGTATTGCATCTTCTTCTTCACAATACCCCATAGATTTTCTATGGGGTTAAGGTCAGGAGAGTTTGCTGGCCAATTAAGAACAGGGATACCATGGTCCTTCAACCAGGTACTGGTAGCTTTGGCACTGTGTGCAGGTGCCAAGTCCTGTTGGAAAATGAAATCTGCATCTCCAAAAAGTTGGTCAGCTGCAGGAAGCATGAAGTGCTCTAAAACTTCCTGGTATGTGGCTGCGTTGACCCTGGACCTCAGAAAACACAATGGACCAACACCAGCAGATGACATGGCACCCCAAACCATCACTGACTGTGGAAACTTTACACTGGACTTCAAGCAACGTGGATGAAGTGCCTCTCTTCTTTTCCTCCAGACTCTGGGACTTTGATTTCCAAAGGAAATGCAAAATTTACTTTCATCAGAGAACATGACTTTGGACCACTCACCAGCAGTCCAGTCCTGTTTCTCTTTAGCCCAGGCAAGACGCTTCTGACGCTGTCTGTGGTTCAAGAGTGGCTTGACACAAGGAATGCGACAGCAGAAACCCATGTCTTTCATACGTCTGTGTGTGGTGGTTCTTGAAGCACTCACTCCAGCTGCAGTCCACTCTTTGTGAATCTCCCCCACATTTTTGAATGGGTTTTGTTTCACAATCCTCTCCAGGGTGCGGTTATCTCTCTTGCTTGTACACTTTTTTCGACCACATCTTTTCCTTCCCTTCGCCTCTCTATTAATGTGCTTGGACACTGAGCTCTGTGAACAGCCAGCCTCTTTCGCGATGACCTTTTGTGTCTTGCCCTCCTTGTGCAAGGTGTCGATGGTCGTCTTTTGGACAACTGTCAAGTCAGCAGTCTTCCCCATGATTGTGTAGCCTATAGAACTAGACTGAAAGACCATTTAAAGGCTTTTGCAGGTGGTTTGAGTTAATTAGCTGATTAGAGTGTGGCACCAGGGGCCATCAATTTTGAACCTTTTCACAATATTCTAATTTTCTGATATGATGAATTTGAGATTTTCATTTGTTGTCATTTGTAATCATCAAAATTAAACAAAATAAACATCTGAAATATATGAGTTTGTATGTAATGTATGAATATAATATACAAGTTTCACTTTTTAAATGGAATTACTGAAATCAATCTACTTTTTCATGATATTCTAATTTTATGACCAGCACCTGTATATCAGATTGTCAGAGCACCTCAGTAGTGGGGGGAGGGGTCGTGTGTCACGTTTCATCTGGACAGATACAGGGGGCGCTCTGCTGGAGGAGACCTCCTCGTACCCGTCTGCCGTTTAGAATCACAGATCTCTGTCATTTAATGCAGGCAATTCTTTTTTTTCCAAAGTGTTGCAGAGTTTGTGAGACAAATGTTCTGTTCTTTAAGGTTTCGTGTTTATATCTACGATCTGCAAAGGCCAAATTATGTACAGTGTGTTGAATAATGAAGCAGCATTATCTGCATGTTGATGTTTCTCATCTTTAAGCTCAGAATTCAGGTATACTTTCTAAGAAAAAAAACATGTTTTAATGGTTGTGACAAAGTGGTATCGTGCCATAAAATGTTGATTTGTTTTTCTTTTATACATCCGTTCCAGCCGAGGCAAATATAAACACACTAAGGTTTTTAGGTGCCTCTCAACTTTAATGGCGTTAGAACCACCAACTTTAGTGGGTTTTGTCAGGATTTTGTCCAACAGACCAACGCAGGCGTAATGAGACTGTGGAAGGGAGGTTGAACAAAGAATCTGGAAAGTGTGGGGTGCATTTCTGTCCCTCTGAACCATTTGTCCCTGCAGACTCCTGAGGTGCAGACAGGTTGGATAAAAAAAAAGTGAACAAATTTCGATCCTGCCAGATGCTGAAATAGATTTAATCTCTTGACCCTCCGAGCACATAATTGATTTAAACATTTATTTATATTTATGTTTAAGGTTTGTTTACTTGCTAGAGGGTTGAAATTGTCCATCCTAGATGTTATTCGGTTTCCTTTCGACTGTAATAAAGTTAAACTTATCCTTCCATCAACTCTGACCAGCTTCCCTGTTTTGGGGAAAAAAGTAAACCCACAGCATGATCTTGCCACCACCATGTATCTTGTTTGAACATTTGCATCCTTACAACCCCACCCTGAGCTTTAAAGCCCACAAATCAAAAGTTACTTTCCTAGATTGTGGTTCAGCTGGTCTCTGCACATTAAGAGAATGTTGATCAAGCTTTATCTTCCTCTTCGTATTTGAATTATAATCCTTTTTGTGTTCTATCACAGAAAACCCTGTTAAAACACACTGGAGGTTGTGGTTGTAGGTGTGATAAAAAGAGAGAGAATTTAAGTTACATTTCCTCTTTCTGGAGTAGTTCCTGGATCAGGTGTATTTTAGGGCCTTAGTGGCGACATATAGGTGAAATGCAGCGCAGAGTAAGCGTCAGGTTCACAGCACCCAGCTGGCATCGTCTCACCTTTTAATCCGCTTTGCAGCTTTTGCATTTGCGCAGCATCCCGTGCATGCATGTTTGGCTTTTGAAGGTAAAGGGGTTGTTTTATGTGTAGTTTCTATTGAGACAAAGAGGAGGCCGGCGGATCCATTGTTTTGCTTCTCACTGAATGTTCGAGCAAATCCCAGGAATGTAGCCGTTCCGCGTCCGCAGAGGAATCAAAACTAGACGCTGCTGGGCGCGGCCACGGGGCCGGCTTTGGGAAAAGGCTCCTCATTCCAGATCTCATCCGTCATCTTTACAAACGTAACTTGAATCCTCGGAGCTAAACAGTTGGGCCTCATAAACACGAAGCTTTCTGATAGAGACAGACACTTTATTAGTGAGTTTAGCTTCTTTGACTGCCGACCTGAAATCAGAGCAGCAGCTGCAGCGTTTCTCATCATTTAGGAAGCTGATGATGAGGTTTGACCTGAATGGCAGCAGCCTGGTTTCTGGAGTCTTCCAGCGTGTAATCAGCATCACGGAGGCTTTGAAGCAACACATGTTCCTTCCTAATATCCCTGTTGAGTGTTTTAGGAGCTTAATTAGCTTCATCAGTCAGAGAAGTTGTTTATTTTTCTTCTTCCATCCCTCTATGCTTAGGAAAGTGTTAAATCTTTCAATTTAGCTCTTTGGCTTAAACACTGCAAAGTTACAGTCACAAAGATAAATAAAGTTGGACCAAATTAATGAACACAAGGCTGTTCCATTGCATTTTTTATCATAATCTTAAGATATTGTGAGTTAATTTATCAGCAGTTATTACAAAAAATTCTATTCAAAAAAGTTAAAATAACTACCGTTCGTTTGGGACTTTTTATTGGTTTATTTTGTTCTAGAAGTAGAGTGGATAGTTTGATGCTTTAAATACATAAAGTAGGAATCGGTAACATTTTCGGTGTAAAGAGTCACTTCTGCCCTTGATTCTAATAAAAAATCTCCAGTAAAGGACCGCAGCGTTTCTATTTTAGAGTTCTAGATAAACGAAACTCAACTTTTACAGATCAAGACTTCTGCATAACAACCAAATCCGCCTGGTTTAACAGCGAGCTGCTGTTAAACTTTGCTTTTATAAAATCAAATCATTTCACGTTTACTCAAGGTCTAAGTGAAAGTATTTTTAACGCCAAAGTGATATGAACTTATTTGATTTAAACGAAATATAAAATTGATGGTAGTTTCCATTTTAATAGGAAAAACCAAGGAAAAAATAAAAAGGGTATTTTTTTCTGTAAAACAAATTTTGTGAATTTTCACACTGTGTGAAACTTGTGCACTTTGACACGGATCCAATAGAAAAACACGCATGTAGTTAAACATGTGTCTCAATCAGTGATCTAAAATGTCCAGTTCTTGTTTTTAAAATATTGTAAAGTTTCATAAGGCGGGATCAATCCACTCATTAAAAAAAAAAGGAAAAATTTACCAAAATAAAAGGGCACTGTGTGCAGGTGCCAAGTCCTGTTGGAAAATGAAATCTGCATCTCCAAAAAGTTGGTCAGCTGCAGGAAGCATGAAGTGCTCTAAAACTTCCTGGTATGTGGCTGCGTTGACCCTGGACCTCAGAAAACACAATGGACCAACACCAGCAGATGACATGGCACCCCAAACCATCACTGACTGTGGAAACTTTACACTGGACTTCAAGCAACGTGGATGAAGTGCCTCTCTTCTTTTCCTCCAGACTCTGGGACCTTGATTTCCAAAGGAAATGCAAAATTTACTTTCATCAGAGAACATGACTTTGGACCACTCACCAGCAGTCCAGTCCTGTTTCTCTTTAGCCCAGGCAAGACGCTTCTGACGCTGTCTG